CTGCAGAGGCAGGATAGAGCTGGTAGCTCCAGAACCAGCGGCAGCAGAAGCAGCAGCTCAAGTCTTTCCTGCCAACGCCAGCAAGGCCTCCTTGAGTTTCTTTTCTTTTTTTTTTGAGACAGAGTCTCACTCTGTCATCCCAGCTGGAGTACAGTGGTACTGTCTTGGCTCACGGCAACCTCAGCCTCCCAGGTTCAAGTGATTTTCCTGCCTCAGCCTCCAGAGCAGCCAGGGTCACAGGAATGTGCCACCATGCCTGGCTAATATTTTTTTGTATTTTTAGTAGAGATGGGGGTTTGCCATGTTGGCCAGGCTGGTCTCGAACTCCTCTCGTCTTAGCCTCCAAAATGTAGGACTGGTGACTTGGCCTTTCTGCTAAGTCTGGGATGCGGGTCCTCATAGTCTGGCCACCATGGCTGCATGAGGAATTTGACCAACCCACCCCATGAAGGGGGTATTCTAGAAAGAGATCTATAAAACCATCCAAAACCCAGGCCAGATGTGGTGGCTCACGCTGGCAATCCCAGCACTTTGGGAGACTGAGGAAAGTGGATCACTTGAGATCAGGAGTTCAGGACCAGCCTGGCCAACATGGTAAAAACCCCGTCTCTACTAAAAATACAAAAATTAGCCAGGCGTGGTGGCACATATCTATCTGTAGCCCCAGCTACTCGGGAGGCTGAAGCAGGAGAATTGCTTGAACCTGGGAGGCGGAGGTTGCAGTGAGCCAAGATAGTGCCACTGCAATCTAGAGCAAGACTTCATCTCAAAAAAAAAAACACCATGCCATCCAAAAGCCCTCTCCTGTGGAGAGGGCAGACCAGGAGGGTGGCCACCTGATTATGGCATGTACATTCTGATGTCCAGAGGAGTAGGAGGTCCTTGCCCTGACAGTGGAGCGAATACTTCCGTCAGTAGGTCCAGCCTCGCCTCCACCACCCACCATCCAGCTCTCCAGCAGGATCTGCCTTGTCCTTTGTCCCCTCAGACCCTGTTCTGAGGTCACAGTGGAAACACCTGCACTGGACTTGGGGAAAATTTCCCTTCTAGAGGGTCTGCATTGTCTTTGGCAGCCCACTTCTTGTTGGCATAAGAGAGAACCCAGAAAGTGAGTGATCACCATTTCTGCTTTGCCAGGTTTTTCTGGCTTCACACACCTGCTGAAAGCCTTCCTAACATTTTTTTTTTTTTTTTTGAGATGGAGTTTCGCTGTTGTTACCCAGACTGGAGTGCAATGGCACAATCTTGGCTCACCGCAACCTCCGCCCCCTGGGTTCAGGCAATTCTCCTGCCTCAGCCTCCTGAGTAGCTGGGATTATAGGCACGTGCCACCATGCCCAGCTAATTTTTTGTAGTTTTAGTAGAGACGGGGTTTCACCATGTTGACCAGGATGGTCTTGATCTCTTGACCTTGTGATCTACCTGCGTTGGCCTCCCAAAGTGCTGGGATTATAGGCGTGAGCCACCGTGCCCGGCCACTTTTTTTTTTTTTTTTAATAGGATCTCACTCTGTCACCCAGGCTGGAGTACAGTGACACAATCATAGCTCACTGCGGCCTCCAACTCCTAGGCTCATGTGATCCTCCTGCCTCAGCCTCCCAATGTGCTGGATTATAGGTGCACACCATCACGCCTGGCCTAGTGATTTCTTTCTTTTTAAAAAAATTTTAATTAAAAATTTAAAATAGGGGCTGGATGCAAGTGGCTCACTCCTGTAATCACAGCACTTTGGGAGGCTGAGGCTGGTGGATCACAAGGTCAGGAGTTCGAGACCATCCTGGCCAACGTGGTAAAACCCCATCTCTACTAAAAATACAAAAGATTAGCTAGGCATGGTGGCGTGCACCTGTAATCCCCGCTACTCTGGAGGCTGAGGCAGGAGAATGGCTTGAACCCAGGAGGCGGAGGTTCACACTGTCGTACTACAATCTGGGCAACAGAGCAAGACTCCCTCTCAAAGAAAGAATAAAAAAAGACCCCCCAAAAATTTTTTTAAATAGAGACAAGGTCTCACTATGTTGCCGGCATGCTTTCAAACTCCTGGTCTAAAGTGAGGACAAAGAACACCTCCCAAAGTGTTCTTCCAGACAATTCCACAGGTGGGAGTAACTGAACCTGCCTCCCAGGTTCAAGCGATTCTCCTGCCTCAGCCCTCTGAGTAGCTGGGACTATAGGCACACACTGCCTGGCTAATTTTTGTATTTTTCGTAGAGATGGGGTTGGTCTTGAACCAGGCTGGTCTCAAACTCCTCACCTCAAATGATCCACCTGCCTAGGCCTCCCAAAGTGCTGGGATTACGGGCGTGAGCCACTGGGCCCGGCCCCAGCTCAGTTTTATCCAGCCATAGTTTCCCACCCTAGGACTGGAATCTTTTTAAATTAAGTTTTCAAACCCTGATCAAGTCAGGGTCTCTGGATAGAACCGTGCCATGGGAGTTCCTGTTCTTACCAACAGGCCTCAGGCTACCCTCTGAGTCTGTGCTGCCGTCTTGGCCACCACCCCCGGGGGTTTCTGCCCTCAGGCTGCATGTAAGCTATGCTTGACGAAAGAAAAGAGAGAGAGGCTTTTCGCAGACTAGTGCCGAGCTCAGCCAGGAACCGAGAGGTCAGTCACTTAATGTTTGGTGCCTGGGGTCAAAAAATAGAGTGGAAAAAAAAAAGACTAAAAGCAAACAATTTATGTATCACTTGCAAAAGTTCTTGAAATTTAAAGCTTTCAAATTATACATATATAAAATCTTATCTGGTCTTATGTTCTGGGGTACATGTGCAGAACGTGCAGGTTTGTTCATAGGCAAACATGTGCCCTGGTGGTTTCCTGCACCGATAACGTAAAACCATCAGTAGGGTGTTAAGCCCCACACACATTAGCTATTCATCCTGATACTCTTCCTTCCCCCACCACCTCCAAAATTAAATTCTTAAAAAATTGTGAGAAAAATTCAAGGACCAAAGGAAAAAAAATAGACAAATTAAACTTCATGAAAAAAAAAAAACTTTTTTGTTTTTAAGACAGGGTCCTGCTCCGTCATCTAGGCTGGCATGAAGTGGCACAATCACGGCTCACTGCAGCCTTGACCTACGTGGCTCAACGGGCCTTACTGCCTCAGCCTCTCAAGTAATTGGGAGTACAGGCACTGCCACCACATCTGGCCAGTTTTTAGTTTTTTGTTGAGACGGGGTCTAGCTATGTCCCCCAGGATGGTCGCCACCTCTTGGCCTCAAGTGATCCTCCTGCCTCAGCTCCCAAAGTGCTGGGACTACAGGGGTGAGCCACCATGCCAGGCTGTTCTTCAAACAATTTAAAATATGCATATAAAAAGATACTATCAAAAGAGTAAAAAAAACAACCCGCAGAATGGGAGAAATATTTGCCAATCATTTATCTGATAAGGGATTTACATCCAGAATCTAAAGACACCTCTAAAACTCCATAGCAAAATCAAACAACCTGATTCAAATACGGGCAAAGGACTTGAGCTGACACTTATCCAAAGAAGACACACGAAGAACCAACAAACATGAAAAGCTGCTCAACGTCTCTAACCATGAGGGAAATTCAAAGCCACAATGACACACCGTGTGCACCTGCCCCTGCTTGGGGTGGCTGCTATCCAAAAAACCCAGAAAATAACAAGCGTACGTGAGGACGTGGAGAAATCTGAATCCTTGCATGCTGCTATTAGGAATGTAAAATGGTACAACCACTACGGAAAACAGTATGGCAATTCCTTAAAAAATTCAAAATAGAATTACCATATGATTCAGCAATTCCATTTCTGGCTACATACCCAGAAGAATTGAAAGCAGGGTCTGGAAGAAATATTTGTACATCTATGTTCATAGCAGCATTTCACAAGAGCCAAAATGTAGAAGCAACCCAACTGTCCAATGACAGATAAACAGCTAAAGTAAATATAGGCCGTGCTTGCAATGGAATACTATTCAGCCTTGAAAAGGAAGGACATTCTGACACAGGCTATAACATGGATAAACCTTATGCTAATGAAATAAGCCAGACACAAAAAGACAGATACTATTAACACATTATTCTGCTTACATAAGGTACCTAGAGGAGTCAAAGTCATAAAGACGGAAGGTAGAGTGGCAGGCTGGGCACAGTGGTTCACACCTGTAATCCAATGCCTTGGGGGGCCAAGGCGGGAGGATCGCATGAGTCTACGAGGTTGAGGCCAACCTGGGCAACATAGACAGACCCTGTCTCTGCAAAAAATAAAAAAATTCAGTGGCTATCTATGGTGGTGTGTGCCTGTAGTCCCAGTTCCATGGGAGGCTGAGTTGACAAGATCACTTGAGCTCAGGAGATCAAGGCCACGGTTAGCTATGATTGTGCCACTGCACTCCAGCCTGGGCAACAAAGTGAGATCCTGTTTCCTTAGAAAAAAACCCAAAACTCAGCCAGGTAGAGTTCCCCACGCAGTAATGCCAGAACTTTGGGAGGCTGAGGTGAGAGGATTGCCTGTGCCCAGTAGTTTGAGACTGCAGTGAGCTACAATCGTGACTGCACTTGCACTCCAGCCTGGGCAACAGAGCAAGACCCCATCTCAAAAAAAAAAAAAACCCACAAGCTTAAGGAGGGAAAAATAACAATATAAATGACTAAGATGATAAGGTTTATGTTATGTGTATTACAGCACAATCAAAAAAAAGTAGTAACATAGTTTAAAAAAAAAATCATGAGGCCAGGCACGGTGGCTCACACCTGTAATCCCAGCACTCTGGGAGGCCGAGGTGGGTGGATCATGGGGTCAAGAGATCGAGTCCATCCTGGCCAACATGGTGAAACCCCGTCTCTACTAAAAATACAAAAAATTAGCTGGGCACGGTGGCACGTGCCTGTAATCCCAGCTACTCAGGAGGCTGAGGCAGGAGAATTGCCTGAACCCAGGAGGCGGAGGTTGCGGTGAGCCGAGATCGTGCCATTGCACTCCAGCCTGGGTAACAAGAGTGAAACTCCATCTCAAAAAAAAAAAAAAAAAAAAGAGGACGGGGTAGAGCTGAGCTCTGTTCGGCCACCGTGTGAGTCAGCCATCAGCAGAAGCCCAGCGGACAGAGTGCTTTCTCTCACGGATGTTGAGAGCAGAAAACCACAGCACAGGAGGGACACTGGGTGGCGAGAACTGAGAGGTTGGCAAACACGTCTGCAACAGGAACAAGGTCTGCCCGACCTGTCCTGGGCGACACTGTGAAGCGCAGCAATCAGGTGTCGGCAGCAAACTTGTGCAAGCTCTCTCTCTCTCTCTCCTCTCTCTCTCTTTTTTTTTTTTTTTGAGATGGAGTCTTGCTGTGCTGCCCAGGCTGGAGTGCAGCTGCACGATTTCAGCTCAGTGCAACTTCTGCCTCCCAGGTTCAAGTGATTCTCCTGCCTCAGCCTCTCAAAGTGCTGGGATTACAGGTGTGAGCCACTGAGCCTGGCATTTTTTTTTTAAGACAGGGTCTTGGCTGGGTGTGGTGGCTCACACTTGTAATCCCAGCACTTTGCCAGGCCGAGGCGGCAGATCATGAGGTCAGGAGTTTGAGACCAGTCTAGCCAACATGGTGAAACCCCGTCTCTACTAAAAATACAAAAAATTAGCGGTGTGTGGTGGTGTCACCTGTAATCTCAGCTATGTGGGAGGCTGAGGCGGGAGAGCTGTGTGATCCCGGGAGGTGGAGGTTGCAGTGAGCTGAAAAGACAGGGGCTGGCTGTGTTGCCCAGGATGGAGTGCAGTGATATGATCACGGCTCACTGCAATCTCTGCCTCCCAGGCTCGATCGATCCTCCCGCCTCAGCCTCCTGAGTAGTGGGGACTACTTGCACTTGCCACTGTGCCCGTGGAGGCCCCACTTAAGTCCCTACAATGATAACCCACTGTGACTCAACCCCTCACAGGGATACCCAGGAACAGGCAGGGAGCCTCATGCTGACTGCTGGGCTGGAACACGGCACATGGAGGGTGCTGAGTTCCAGGTCACACTTGGATCGGGGCCAGGCAACCCTCTTTCCCTGAAGCAGGGAATCCCTCTGCCTGCTGTTGGCATAAAAGTAATCGGGTCTATAGGGACAGTTTGACGACCCTCCGCCCTCCCTTCTGGACTGAAGGACTTGGGCTCCAACTGCCCGTGACTGAGACAAGTTGCCTGATTCAAGGTCACAACTCCTGTCCCGAGGTGGCCGAGGCAGGGGGAGAATCTTAGCCGCTTCCCTGAACCCAGGTCTGAAGGGGAGTTAGGAAGCCGAAGCCATGCTGGATCCTACGTCGCAGCCCTGAGTCTCCTGGGCCCGAACGGCTTCCGAACTTTCCCAGGCAAGCTAACCTCAAGAGCCTGAGAAACCTTCCCCACACTCCTCGGCAAGTCACAGTGCGCGTCCTGGGAGCCCCATGCGGGGGGGTTCAATCTCGGTCCACCATAACCTCTGCCTCCCGGGTTCCTTCAAGCGATTCTCCTGTCTCAGCCTCCTGAGTAGCTGGGATTACAGGCATGTGCCACCGCACCTAGTTTTTGTACTTTTAGTACAGACGGGGTTTCACCATGTAGGCCAGTCTGGTCTCGAACTCCTGACCTCAGGTGATCCACCCACCCTGGCCTCCCAAAGTGCTGGAATTATAGGTCTGAGCCACTGCGCCTGGGCGCCTTGTATTCTTTTTTGGGGCTACCAAAACAAATGACCACGAACTGGGTGGCTTAAACCACAGAAATTTATTCTCACCCAGTTCTGGAGGCCTGAAGCTCAAAATCAAGATCTGAGCAGGCCGTGCTGCCTGAGAGGCTGTAGGGAGGACCCGTCCTGCCTCTTCCAGCCTTCCTGGGCTTGTGGCCCCATCACACCAGGCTCTGCCTCCATCTTCACGCCGCCTTCTCCTCGGAGTCTCTGTGTCTGTTCCCTCTTCTCTTCTCTTCTCTTCTCAGCACTTGTCATTGGATTTAGGGCCCATTCTGATCCAGGATGAGCTCATCTTGAGAGCCTCAGCTGTATCACACCTGCAGAGGTCTTGAGTCCAATAAGATCGCATGCTGCAGGTTCCAGGTGGACATATCTTTTAGGGGAGGCCACAACTGAGCAGTCCGGGCTTCCGTTTCTATGGCAACACTAAGAGCAACCAGTGAGCTCCGGTGAGCTCTGGAAGGGCAGGGTCTTGGTTGCATTTGTCTCTGGGCCTCCGGGGGCTACTCAGAAGTGGTGACAACATGAATAGCTCCATCTGCCACCGCTGCGAATGTCCTCTCTTGATGGTGCTGAGAGCAACATGCAAAGTGTAGGGGAGATGCAGACCCTACCCCCCATGCCAGCACCCCCAATACTGCAGCCAAGGGAGAGTTTCTGGCCCTGCCCTACCCCTCTAGGGTAAGCAGGTGAGCTGGCCAGCTTAGGAGAGAAAGAAAGCCCGATGGCTTGGATGTCTTTTGAAATTTTTCTTTTTTTAAGACAATCTTGCTCTCTTGCCCAGGCTGGAGTGCAGTGGTTCGATCATGGCTCACTGAAGCTTCGAGCTCCTGGGCTCGAGCAGTCCTCCCATGTCAGCCTCCTGAGTGGCGGGGACTACAGGCATGCACCACCACATCTGGCTAATTAAAAAAAAAATTCTTGTAGAGATGGGGTCTCACTGTGTTGCCCAGGCTGGTCTCCAACTCCTGGGCTCAAGTGATTCTCCAGTCTTGCCCTCCCGAAGCACTGGGATCACAGTTGAGAGCCACCACACTGGCCGTCTTTCGAAACTTTCCACCAAGCATAAAGAGTAACTATTTTCCACTGTCAAGGCTGAAGTGTTAAGTGCGTCTGTGTCGGCCACGCCCATCACCTTACCTTCCCAGGAATGCAGGGCCCTGAGACATCAGCTGGAGAACGGCACGTATGAGTTAGGTTCTCCAGAGAACCGGAGCCAACGAGATGTATACAGATGTGCAGGAAGAGGCTTGGCATGAGGAACTGGCTTACGTGGTTGTGGAGGCAGAGAAGTCCCAAGATCCTCCATCTACAGCCAACCCACACTCAAAGGACTGGGAACTGGAAGCCCATGGGGTAAGTCCTTCTCTGAGTCTGAAGGCCTGAAAACCAGAAGCACCAATATCAGGGAGCAGGAAAAGAAGGACGTCCCAGTTCAAGCCGAGACAATCCACCGCTCCTCTGCCTCTGCGTGCTCTTCCGGGTTGTACATGCCCACCTGTGTTGGTGAGGGTAATCTTCTCTATTGAGTCCAGCAACTCAAATGCTAATCTCTGCCAGACTCAGTGGCTCACACCTGAAATCCCAGCACTTTGGGAGGCCAAGGGGGGCCTATCACTTGAGGCCAGGAGTGTGAGACCGGCCTGGCCAACATGGTGAACCCCATCTCTACTAGAAATACACAAATTAGCTGGGTGTGGTGGCACATCCCTGTAGTCCCAGCTACTGGGGAGGCTGAGGCAGACAATTGCTCGAACTCGGGAGGAGGAGGCTGCAGGGAGCTGAGATCGCACCAGTGCACTCCAGCCTGGGTGACAGAGCAAGACTGTGTCTCAAAAATGAAAAACAAAACAAAACGAAAATGCTAATTTCTTCCAGAAACCACACAGACAGACCCAGAAACAATGATTTAGCAGCTATCTGGGCACCCCTTAGCCCAGGCAAGGTGCCACAGGGAAACAACGGTCACGCTGCACCTGGTGGCACTGGCTCCTCTGGTGGCAACTCAGCTATGAAGCGGGGAACTGAACTAGCCTCATGGCGCTCTTTCCTATCATCTACGTTTTGATATCGTACAACGGGAACCCATTTGGGCCGGTAATTGGAGTGTGTCCATTTCAGTCTGTTCTAGGGATCACAGCATGCTTAGAGGGAAAACTCAGCCACGAAGGGAGGTGCCATCACAGTCCTCTTGATACTGTACCTTCCAGGAAGCCAAAGGATGTTTCCGGGGCAACCAAAGGGACAACGGCCACTGGACATGCTCTCTCTCTCTCTCTCTCTTTTTTTTTTTTAGACAGGGTTTCACCATGTTGGTCAGGCTGGTCTTAAACTCCTGACCTGAGGTGATCCGCCCGCCTTGGCCTCCCAAAGTGCTGGGATTACAGGCGTGAGCCACCACACCCGGCCAGGTGAAATCTCAAAAGGTGACTGGCCAGGCATAGTGACTTGTGCCGGTAATCCCAAAGCTTTGGGAGGCCAAGGCAAGAGGACTGCTTCAGTCCAGGAGTTTGAGACTAGCCTGGGCAACATAGCAAGACCACATCTCTAAAAAAAAATGTTTTTAATTAAAAAAGAAAATTAGCAGCCAGTGCGGTGGCTTATGGCTGTAATCCCAGCACTTTGGGAGGCTGAGGCAGGTGGATCATGAGGTCAGGAGTTCGAGACCAGCCTGGCCAACATGGTGAAACCCCACCTCTACTAAAAATATAAAAATTAGCCAGACATGGTAGCACATACCTGTAACCCCAGCTCCTTAGGAGGCTGAGGCAGAAGATTTGCTTCAACCAGGGAGGTGGAGGTTGCAGTGAGCTGAGATCATGCCACTACACTCTAGCCTGGGAGACAGAGTGAGACTCTGTCTCAAAAAAAATTAGGTAGCTGGATGCAGTGGCTCATGCCTGTAATTCCAGCACTTTAGGAGGCTGAGATGGGCAGATCACAATTAGCTGGGCATGGTGGCATGTGCCTGTAGTCCCAGGAATTTGGGAGGCTGAGGCAAAAGAACACCACTTGTAGTCCCAGCTACTTGGGAGGCTGAAGTTGGAGGATTGCTTGAGCTCAAGAGGTCGAGCCTGCTATACTCCAGCCTTGGCAACAGAGCAAGACCCTACCTCTAAAGTCAAATCAGGCTGGCAGCGGTGGCTCATGCCTGTAATCCCAGCACTTTGGGAGGTCAAGGCAGGTAGATCACCTGAGGTCAGGAGTTCAAGACCAGCCTGGCCAACATGATGAAATTCCGTCTCTCTAAAAATACAAAAATTAGCTGGGCATGGTGGTGAGCGCCTGTAATCCCAGCTACTCATGTGGCTGAGGCAGAAGAAACACTTGAACCCGGGAGGAGGAGGTTGCAGTGAGTGGAGATCGTACCGGCGACAGAGCAGACCTCCGTCTCAGTAAAAAAGTCAAATCAAGGGGGCCGGTTGAGGAAAACAAAAAAAAAGTCTCATCAAATCAAAGGCAGCAGCTGAGAAGCACATTTGCCTTCAAGGAGGCTTCACACACGGCTGCCGAGAGAGGGGGTGGCCATGTGGGTCTCCGCATGGTGGCTCCCCAGAAGATCCCTGTTCTTGGAAGTGATGAGGATGTGAGATCATTTGTGTGGCGCTTTCTCTCTTTACCCCATGTGCCCCGCTCCCCTCTGTGAGGTCCATGGGCATGGTGGTGTGACGGGGGGACCTTGGAAGCACCAGGGAACGAGGCTGAGTCCTAGCTTGAAGCCTGCATCTCACTGTCTGTAGAACTAGGCAGATCTCCTCACTTCCTGCCAGTTGTCATGAGGCTCCAATGACAGGATGGGGAGAGAGGACACAGCACAGCAGACTGGGCTTTCGACCCAGGAGGGGCTGGGTGGCTCACCTACAGGCTTTACCTCCACTAGCAGTCAACTCCAGGCAAGCTGGGTTCTCGGAACCTCTTGATAAGATGCCGTGAGCACCTGAGGAGCATAGGCGCTGCCCACCGAATGGTGGTTACCAGATCGTGGAAAGCAGTGAGCTCACTGCCTGATGGATAGTGGGAGCCCTGCGTGTGAATCCTTTCCCTCCCTCAGTGGTACATGAGGAAGCCGTGACAGAAGGGATGAGGCTGTCATTGAGTGACCTGAGCTGGGTGGCCACAGGGTGGACTGCAGGAGGCCCAGGTGGGGACCGGCATCCATGAGCCGTCTTGGTTACCAACTCACCACACGTGGGTGGCTTCTACTTTTTGCGGCACACGGATGTTTAATGACTTACGCAGCCCAGCCCCAGCTAAAGCCACAGTATCCAGTCTACTGTGGACTCTAAATGATGAAGAAATCGTGTTTGGTCCACATGACTCATGACCCTTAGAATCCCTTACACTGCAGCGTGCGTGGTTCTGCGCATCCACGCACAGATGGGGGACTGTCGAACAGTTCTCGGTTCTGCGCGTCCACGTACAGATGCGGGGACTGTCTAACAGTTCTCGGTTCTGCGCATCCACGTACAGATGCGGGGACTGTCTAACAGTTCTCGGTTCTGCGCATCCACGCACAGAGGGGGGACTGTCGAACAGTTCTCGGTTCTGCGCGTCCACGCACAGATGCGGGTACTGTCTGACAGTTCTCGGTTCTGCGCATCCACGCACAGATGCGGGGACCGTCTGACAGTTCTCGATTCTGCGCATCCACGCACAGATGCGGGGACTGTCTGACAGTTCTCGGTTCTGCGCATCCACGCACAGATGCGGGGACTGTCGAACAGTTCTCTTTTAGGGAAAATTTTTTTTTTTTTGAGAGAGTCTCGTTCTGTCGCCCAGTCTGGAGTGCAGTGGCACAATCTTGGCTCACTGCAACATCTACTTTTCAGGCTCAAGCGATTCTTGTGCCTCAGCCTCCTGAGTGGCTGGAACTACAGGCATGCACCACCCTGCCCTGATCACTTTCGTATTTTTTTTTTTTTCAGTAGAGATGGGGTTTTGCCATGTTGGCCAGGCTGGTCTTGAACATCTGGCCTCAAGTGATTCACCCACCTCAGCCTCTGCCAAAGTGCTTGGATTACAGGCATGAGCCACTGTGCTTGGCCTGGGATATTTAAAAAAAAAAAAAAAAAAAAAAAAAAAAAAAAAAAGTAAGACTCATCAATTGCAGCAAGATTTTTTTTTTTTTTTTTTTTTTGAGACAGAGTGCAGGGATGTGATCCCAGCTCACTGCAATCTCTGCCTCCCGGGTTCAAGTGATTCTCCTGCCTCAGCCTCCTGAGTAGCTGGGATTACAGGCACGTGCCACCATGCCCAGCTAATCTGTATATTTTTAGTATAGACAGGGTTTCACTATGTAGGCCAGGCTGGTCTCAAACTCCTGACCTCAGGAGATCCACCTGCCTCAGCCTCCCAAAGTGCTGGGATTACAAGCATGAGCTACCCAGCCAAGATTTTTATTTATTTATTGTTTGTTTGTTTTTAAGAGACAGAATTTCTCTCAGTCAAGCAGCCTGAGTGCAGTGGCATGATCATAGCTCACCGCAGCCTCGAACTCCTGGGCTCAAGCAATCCTCTTGCTTCAGCCTCCTGAGTAGCTGGGACTATACATGTGCACCACCATGCCTGAGTAGTTCTAATTTTTTCTTATAGAGACTGGGTGCTAAGTCGCTCAGGCTAGTCTCGAACTCCTAGCCTCATGCAGTCCTCCCATCTCTTCTTTCCAAAGTGCTGGGATGCCAGGTGTGACCCATTGCACTTGGCTAAGATAAATACTGAATACTCAGAGCCAAATAGCAGATGACTAAGGAGGGCTGATGTCTGCAGGGTTTACTCCATTGCATTGTACAGTGGACCTTGGCACCCCTAAAACAAGCATGCAGGTTGTCACCAGGATCAGGGGACAGCAGAACTTTGTCACACTGTCTTGCTGGGGTGTTGTACAAAAGCTGCCATGAGCGAACTACAGTGGGAGCTCCACTCTCCCAGGACACAGAGACGGAAGCAGGATCCAGGACTCGTGCCTCCTTGGTGCTCTCCTGCTACCAGGTGGCCTCTTCCTTCCTTCAAGTCCTCTGTCCCATTTCCATTTCTCTCTGCCTCCTCTACCTGTTCCCGCAGGCATCTGGCCATGACCTTCTATGGGAGCTTCTGTTCCTCTTTACCACTTGAACCCTTCAAAATAGCCCCCATGCAAACTGGGATGTATATGACCTCCCACAGGCAACAGCAACAGTGGACTTTACCTACTTCCATTGTAAGATGCTCCTTGGAGGGTTGAAAATGACTCTGGGGGCCGGGCGCCGTGGTTCACGCCTATAATCCCAGCACTTTAGGAGGCTGAGGCGGGTGGATCAATTGAGATCAGGAGTTCGAGACCAGCCTGGCCGACGTGACAAAAGCACGTCTGTACTAAAAGTACAAAAATTAGCCAGGTGTGGTGGCAAAGGCCTGTGATCCAGCTACTCAGGAAGCGGAGACAGGAGAATCGCTTGAACCCAGGAGGCAGAGGTTGCAGTGTGTCGAGATAGTGCCTCTGCACTTCAGCCTGGGTGACAAAAGCAGGACTCTAAAAAAAAAAAAAAAAATGATTCAGAGGCAAATGCATTCGACATGGGCCCTGCTCTCTCCTGACCCACAAAGCTTTCTGTCTGGCCCTCTTGAGGGTCCTGACCTCATCCTTTCCTCTGAGTCCAGCCCTCCTCGGGAGTCTGACTTGAATGGTGCAAATCGAAGGCCCATGCAGAGTAAGACAATCTTGATGTGGCCACAGCATCCCTGGACAGATGGCGAGGAGCCCAGCCCTTTAGAAGCAGTCCTAGGGCTACACCATGATAATCAACGTGCAAAATGCGGCCACCCCTCTGAATGGTAACAACGGCAGCCGCCCCTCTGAATGGTAACAATGGCGGCCACCCCTCTAATGGTGGCAATATTTGAACCATCCTCCAACAGCAGACACCCACCAAGCGCTTACCCTGCCAGCTGGGTAAGTACTCTCTACACACGATCTTGGTGACTCCCCAGAACTGCTCTGGGAAGTAGATGCCCTTATTCCCCTTTTACAAATGGATCACCCGAAGCTCAGAAACATATCCAAGGATAGGAGGACACCAAGGCCCATCCGAGCTCACAGTGACAGCACTGAGTCCCACACCGCAGAGGGCGGGCCCGGCGTGCTGGCCACAGCCACAGCCACAGCCACAGCGTGGGGAATCTGCCCTTAATTACATAGCAGGGAGTGATCAGACGAGTTCTATCACATACCAACAGTGCAGGCCCCTCTGGCTCCTCTACCCAAGCACCTCCTGGTAATGGACGGAGGGCAGGGAGAGGAGGAGAGAGGAGACCTGGGTTCTGCCTTCCCCAGCCCCACTGTGCTGGGCACACGGAGGTCCACCTGGCGGTTGGCCCCTCTGGGCCTTGAGCCAGCCTGGCGCAGGCAATGTACTGTTCACTGGCATCTGGACCCATGTTTGTGCCTTAAGTGTGACAGGTGGCCCTGAGCCCAAACTCCCTGTGCTCCCTCTCCCTGTTTCCTGATGGAAGAAACCCTAGTTTTGGGCCCAGGCTGGGACTCAGACATTTTAGAAACCTGTGTTGGGCCAGTGGGTCAGGCCTCACCAGAAGCTCGTGCAGAGGCCAAGGAGCCTCCAGGAAATCACTCAGCCGTGGAAGGGAGGAGCTGGGCCCAGCGAGTTGACCTGGAAAAGTAACATGGCCTATGACATACCAACACCGCAGACTCCTCTGGCTCTTCAGACCCTGAGGCATGCGTACCCAGAGAGCAGGAGGAAACGGGGGGTGTATATATGCCATAAAGATGAGTTGATTGGCCCTATAAAACAGGACACAGGCACTGCTTTGGCCATGAGAGTAGCCACCAGTAGCCCAGAGAGATCAGATGCAGCCTCGTGAAGCCGTAGTGGCCAATTTGAGCGCACACATAGACTCAGCCTTCCGTGATACCTTCTCGGGGGCTGCAGCAAGGCCAGGGCGAGAGCTGGCCGGGTTATGACTGCCTTCTTCCCACGGTGGCAGCATGCACCAGAGAAAGGACATGGGCTCTGGGCAGCTGGGTTCTTTTACCGTCCGAGGCAGTCTTACTGCCCAGGCAGGAGTGCAGTAGCACAAACTGCTGCCTTCTTCCCTGCGGTTGTGACCTCCTGGTCTCAAGTAATCTTCCTGCCTCATTTTTTTTTAATTTTTTGTAGAGACAAGGTCTAACTATGTCACCCAGGCTGGTGTCAAACTCTTGGACTCAGCTATTCTCCTGCCTCAGCCTCCCAAACTGCGGAGAGGACAGGCATGAGCCACCACCCCTGGCCAGGAGCTGGATTCTAATCTCCTTCTCAGCACTTCCTTGTGTGTGATCTGGGGTAAGTTAATTAAAGACTTAAACTGGGAATGAGAATGCTGCTGCCCGCTGTGGTTTAAAATATGTCCACAACAAACTCTTTGATATTCCCCCCTTTAAGAGGTGGAGCCTCATCCCCTGCCCTTGAGTGTGGGATGGAATTAGTGACTCGCTTCTAAATAATCAGGCAGAGGTGGTACTGTACGACCTTGGGGACTGTGGTCATAAAAGGACTGTGGGTTCCTTCTTCTTCCCCTTCTTGATCTCAGATCCCTCCTCTGGCAAAAACCAGCTGCTATGTCACTAAAACAGCGTCGATCACTGGTGAAGACCAAATCCTCCAGCCAGCAGCCACGTGAAGGTGTCATCTTGTAGGTAGCTCCACCAGCCCCAGTTGAGCCTTCAGATGATGGAAGCCCCAGCTGACATCCCAGGTGCAACCTCACAAGAGACCCTGAGACAGAGCCACCTGGATTTAAATGACCATGATGTTCCTGAATTCCTGACCTGTAGAAACTGTGAGATAATGTTTTTTTTTTTTGAGATGGAGTCTCACTCTGTCACCAGGCTGCAGTGCAGGGTGCAGTGGTACCATCTCAGCTCACTGCAACCTCTGCCTCCCAGGTTCAAGCAATTCTTCTGCTTCAGCCTCTCGAGTAGCTGGGACTATAGCTGCCTGCCACCACGCCCAGCAGGCGTGCTGTATTTGTATTTTAGTAGAGATGGGGTTTCACCATGTTGGCCAGCATGGTCTCAATCTCCTGACCTTGTGATCCACCCGCCTTGACCTCCCAAAGTGCTGGGATTACAGGCGTGAGCCACCGCGCCCACCCTAAATGTTTGTTATTTTAAGGTAATATTTTTTTGGGGGTAGTTTGTTACAAAACAATAGATGACTGATACGCCCATCTCAAAGTATTTGTCAGGATTTACTGGGCCAACATATACAGGGAGCCAGATGCCCAATGGACCCACGGTTTCATCAGCTCCTTTCCACACTGATATCTCAGCAGCCCCTTCCTCATGGGGGCTAAAGTTTGGACTCTGGTTATGCCACTCAGGGACCAGCCCTCCAGCAGGTTCCTGGCTTTCTCCTCCTTTCCCCCAGCTACATCCTGGCCTTGACCAGCAGAAACCTTGTCACATTGAGGGAGGCTCATGCTCTAAACAACAGATCAAAGAAATTGGTTTGTATGATGTTAAACATTTTTTTTTTTTTGAGACGGAGTTTCGCTCTTGTTACCCAGGCTGGAGTGCAATGGCGCGATCTCGGCTCACCGCAACCTCCGCCTCCTGGGTTCAGGCAATTCTCCTGCCTCAGCTTCCTGAGTAGCTGGGATTACAGGCACGCGCCACCATGCCCAGCTAATTTTTTGTATTTTTAGTAGAGACGGGGTTTCACCATGTTGACCAGGATGGTCTCAAACTGTTGACCTTGTGATCCACCTGCCTTGGCCTCCCAAAGTGCTGGGATTACAGGCTTGAGCCACCGCGCCCGGCAGATGTTAAACATTTAAAAAAAACTTTTTTAAGAGATGGGGCCCTTACTATGTTGCTCAGGCTGGACTCGAACTTCTGGCCTCAAGCAATCCTCCCACAGCAGCCTCCCAGGTACCTGGGACAACAGGCACCCGACTGTCTCAATCATCACTTCTTGCTTAAAATCCTTCCATGGCTTCCCTTTACCCTTACAGTAAAAACCCTAAGCCATGACCATGGCTACAAGCTTCCTGTAACACACCCCCAACCCCATGGTGTGTCATGATGTTCTCCACGCCCTGCAAACTGACCAGTCACCACACTTCATTTCTCCAGCACAAACCATTCTTCCACCTGACCTTCAGAAAGCTGCCTTCTTTCCTGCAGTTCTCATCTTTACTTAGTGTCACCTTCTCAGAGCACACCCCACCCAAGGTCCTCTTGACCACATCATCTCATCTTTTTTTTTTGAGACATAGTCTTGCTCTATCACTAGGCTGGAGTGCAGTGGCACAGTCTTGGCTCACTGCAACCTCTGTCTCCCAGGTTCAAGTGGAAAATAGGTTCTGTGTGGATGCTGGGCCCTCAGGGGTCCTTCCCATAGTAGCACTGAGCCCACATGGGCTGGCTGTGCGGGATAGGAGATTCTGCCAGAGAACATGAGGGGCCAGGCTGCAAGCCCCAGTGTGGAGGTCCCGGCTGTCACAGGGGAACGTTGCCCAGGACTGGATGCTTGGTGAGCTGATGAGACCTTCTCTCCCATCGATAAGACTGCCCGTGGCTCACACTCCAGCACCCGTCTTGCACCACAGAAGTGAGAGCTACCTCTGTGAAACACTGTTGGCGTTGCCTGTATCCAAACCACCAACCTGCTCTTTGCTTTGTCTCTCCCTCCTGTCTGACTGTTCTACCAGGACTTTTTCCCCCATGGAAAGATTTCATCTTTTCTGAGTGGCTGGAAAGCTGGTAAAACAAAGTGACAAAAGGCATTTAATGAAAGATACTAGATTAATAAGGTTGTGCCTATTTCGTCCCTCTTTCTTTCTCCCTCCTTCTTTCCATCCTTCCTTCCTCCCTCCCTCCCTCCCTGTCTCCCTCCTTTCTTTCTTTCTCTCTCTTTCTTTCTTTTCTTTCTTGATGGAGTCTCGCTCTATCACCAGCCTCCTCCCTCCCTCCCTCCTTTCTTTCTTTCTTTCTTTCTCTCTCCCCCTTTCCTTTCTTTCCTTTCCTTTTTCCTTTTCTTTTTTCTTTCTTGATGGAGTCTCGCTCTGTCACCAGCCCGGAGTTCAGAGGTGAGATTCTGGCTCGCTGCAACCTCCACCTCCTGGGTTCAAGTGATTCTCCTGCCTCAGCCTCCAGAGTAGCTGGGACCACAAGAGCGTGCCCACAACACTCAGCAAATTTTTTGTATTTTTAGTAGGGACGGAGTTTCACTGTTTTAGCCAGGATGGTCTCGATCTCCTGACCTCGTGATCTGCTTGCCTCGGCCTCCCAATGTGCTAGGATTACAGGCGTGAGCCGCTGCGCCCAACCTATTTTGTCTTTCGTAGGGTCACGCTGGGAGTTGTATGGGGGAAGAGAAGTGTTCTTTTCGTATTCAATTATTCAACTGCCTAAACCGGAAGGTAGTTTCCAGAAAGAACTCTCCTGCAGCTGAAGGCAATTCTCCCAGCCTCAGCAGCTGCTTGGGGTAACACGCACACCCTCTTGGTGTTAACCTCCCTCGACTTCAGGCAAATGGCTGATACTTACCTGGCTGTGGTGGGGCCCCTGCCACACACTGTCCCGGGCAGAGAGGCAGCTTTGGCTTGCCAGCTCCACGAGCTGCCAATCATCATGCAGGAAATCAACTTGCTGGCCAGACCTCCCGCATAAATGCCCCGGGAGCAGCAGCCACCGGAGCCGAGAACTTGGAAAGGGCAGGGAGGAAGCCGCTGGCAGAACGAGGAAAACCTGTTCCAACGTGGGAGGTGGGAGGGGCTGCGCTGGGCAGGGAGACTCGGTGGAGGGGTTGGGTGGTCCTGGTTCATCTTGACCCTTGACTGTCTAGCAGGGGGATTTTTAAAAAACTGGATAGAAATTGGGTAAGATATGCTTGTTTAATGGGGAGAGATAAGGTGAGGGATTTTAAATGTTAGAGAACAATTGGGAAACCTGCCCCTTATGGAAAACCTGAGATGCGGAGAAATTCCCGCAAAGCTGGGAGGGAGCAGGTGCCAGTCTCGCTGATGCAGGCTGGGGAGTGTCTTTCTCTCTGTAGAATGAGCCCAGCGGTTCACCCTTAGTCTGTGGTTGGGGGTGAGGCAGGGAAGCTGGAAGCAACAACAGCAGCAGCAGAAGTGTGGCTCCAGCCTGGTTAGGAGCAGAAGTGTGGCTCCAGCCTGGTTAGGAGCAGAAGTGTGGCTCCAGCCTGGTTAGGAGCAGCGGATCCCTCCTCAGCAGGGAACTGCAAGTCAAAGCCACAATGAGGCAGGGCGCGGTGGCTCACACCTGTAATCCCAGCCCTTTGGGAGGCCGAGGTGGGCAGATCACCTGAAGTCACAAGTTCAAGACCAGCCTGGCCAACATGGTGAAACCTCATCTCTACTAAAATTACAAAAGTTAGCTGGGCGTGGTGGTGCATGCCAGCGGCCCCAGCTACTCGGGAGGCTGAGGCAGGAGAATCGCTTGAACCCGGGAGGCGGAGGTTGCAGTGAGATGAAATCTCACCGGTGCACTCCAGCCTGTTCGACAGAACGAGACTCTGTCTCAAAACAAACAAACGAAAAACAAAGCCACAATGAGGCACCACCTTATACCCATGAGGATGCCACAGTCAAAACCAGAGAGAATGACAAGTGATGGCAGGGACGTGAAGACAGGGACCATTTATGCACCTTTGATGACCATGTAAAATGGTGCAGCCATTGTGCAAAATAGTCTGGCCATTCCCCAAAAGTTTAAACACAGAGCTGCCAGTAATCCCACTCCGAGGTATATACCCAGGAGAAATGCAAGTTGGCATCCGCACGAACACGTGTGCACACAGCAGCGCTGCCTTTAATAGTCTAAAGTGGAGACAACCCAGATATCCACAAACTCATGAATGCATAAGCAAAATACGGTCTATCCATACAACGGAATATTATTCAACCATAAATAGGACTGAAGCCAGGCACAGTGGCTCATGCCTCTAATCCCAGAACTTTGAGAGGCTGAGGTAGGTTAATCACCTAAGGTCAGGAGTTCAAGACCAGCCTGACCAACATGGTGAAACCTTATCTCTACTAAAATACAAAAGTTAGCTGAGTATGACTCTGGGCACCTGTAGTCCCAGCTACTTAGGAGGCCGAGGCAGGAGAATCACTTGAACCCGGGAGGTGGAGGTTGCAGTGAGCTGAGACTGCAAGATTGCAACCCCGGACTCCAACCTGGGTGACAGAGTCAGACTCTGTCTCAAAAAAAAAAAGGGTGGGGGTGGGTAGGGGGAGGACAGGCACGGTGGCTTATGCCTGTAATCTCAGCACTTTGGGAGGCCGAGGCAGGCAGATAACGAGGTCAGGAGTTCGAGACCAGCCTGACCAACATGGTGAAACCTCATCTCTACTAAAAATACAAAAATTAGCCAGGCGTGGTGGTGCATGCCTGTAATCCCAGCTACTCAGGAGGCCGAGGCAGGAAAATCGCTTGAACCTGGGAGGCGGAGGTTGCAGCGAGCTGAGATTGCACCACTGCACTCCAGCCTAGGTGACAGAGGGAGACTCCATCTCAAAAAAAAAAAAAAAAGGAGTGAAGCACACTGCAACATGGATGGAGCTTGAGAACTCTACGGTTGGTGAAAGACGCCAATCACAGAGGACCATGCTCTGCTTGATTCCATTTCTCTGAAACATCCAATATCAACAAATCTATACAAAGAGACAGGAAGTAGATGAATGGTTCTCTGGAGTTGGGACTGGGGAATGGAAGGACTAGGGAAGTGACAGTTAAGAGATACGGTGTTTCTTTCTGGGATAATGAAAATCTCCTAAAGTGGATTGTGCTGACGGTTGTACAAGTCTGTGAATATATGAAAAGTTATTGAATTGTATACTTAAAAGTGTGAATCAGGCCAGATGCAGTGGCTCATGCCTGTAATCCCAGCACTTTGGGAGGCTGAGGCAGAAGGATCACTTGAGCCCAGGAGTTTGAGACCAGCCTGGGCAACATGGTAAAACCCCATCTCTACACTAAAAAAAAAAAAGCGCATCATGCCGGGCACAATGGCTCATGCCTATAATCCCAGCACTTTGGGAGGCTGAGGCAAGTGGATCACGAGATCAGGAGTTCGAGACCAGCCTGTCCAACATGGTGAAACCCTGTCTCAAAAAAAAAAAATAGTGCATCATATGGTATGTGAATTATATCTCAGTAAAACTGTCTAAGAAAAAGAATTTTGGGTCAGGGTGTCTCTCTGTCTCTTTTCAGTCTGTGTGGTAGGATCTCCTATAATCCCTCCAGCCATCTGTGAAATGATGGACTGCACTGGAGACGGTGAACAGTAAGGGAATTCCTTGTTACAATAAGTACGTAAGATAAGGGCACAGGTTCTACCCCGAGGCCCCCATGGAAAGTGAGCGTCACCCTGAACATTCAGACTAAAAACAATCGATGTATAATTGACCGCGCAACAATCTGCAGTAATAGGAGAAACAGCTTCAAGAGAAACTGCAGGAGAAATGGAATCGGTAATGAATAACCTTCCAAAACAGAAAGTACCAGGCCAAGATGGGCTCACTGGTGAATTCTACCAAACTCTTAAGGAAGACATGATACCAATTCTCTACAGTCTCTTTCAGAAGACAGAAACTGAGGGTATACTTCATAATTCATTCTGTGAGACTAGCATCACTGTAAGCAGACATTACCAGAAAGGAAAACTTTGAGGCTGGGTGCGAAGGCTCTCGGCTGTAATCCCAGTACTTTGGGAGGCTGAGGCAGAGAATTGCTTGTGCTCAGGGAGTTTAAAACCAGCCTGGGTAACATAGTGAGAGCTTGTCTCTACTAAAATTTCAAAAAAAAGAAAAAAAAAAAGGCTGGGGGTGGTAGCTCACACTTGTAATACCAGCACTTTGGGAGGCCAAGGTGGACAGATCACCTGAGGTCAGGAGTTCAAAACCAGCCTGGGCAACATAGTGAAACCCTGCCTGTACAAAAAATATAAAAATTAGCTGGGCATGGTGGTCCAGGCCTATATTCCCAGCTACTCAGGAGGCTGAGGCAGGATAATCGATTGAACCCAGGAGGCAGAGGTTGCATTGAGCCAAGATTGCACTACTGTGGTCCAGCTTGGGTGACAGAGCGAGACTCAGTATTAAAAAAAAAACAGCCGCCAGGCGCGGTGGCGCACGCCTGTAATCCCAGCACTTTGGGAGGCCGAGGCGGGTGGATCACGAGGTCAAGAGATCAAGACCATCTGGTCAAAATGGTGAAACCCCGTCTCTACTAAAAATACAAAAAATTAGCTGGGCATGGTGGCACGTGCCTGTAATCCCAGCTACTCAGGAGGCTGAGGCAGGAGAATTGCCTGAACCCAGGGGGCGGAGGTTGCGGTGAGCCGAGATCATGCCATTGCACTCCAGCCTGGGTAACAAGAGCGAAACTCCGTCTCAAAAAAAAAAAAGAAAAGAAAAACAAAACAGCCATGGTGGCTCACGCCTGTAATCTCAGCACTTTGGGAGGCCAAGGCGAGTGGATCACCTTGAGGTCGGGAGTTTGAGACCAGCCTGACCAACATGAAGAAACCCAGTCTCTACTAAAAATACAAAATTAGCCAGGCACGGTGGCACATGCCTGTAATCCCAGCTACTCAGGAGGCTGAGGCAGGAGAACTGCCTGAACTCGGGAGGCAGAGGTTATGGTGAGCCGAGATCGCGCCATTGCACTCCAGACTGGGCAACAAGAGGGCAGTTCTCTGTCTTTAAAAAAAAATTAGGCTGGGTGCGGTGGCTCAAGCCTGTAATCCCAGCACTTTCAGAGGCCGAGGCGGGTGGATCATGAGGTCAAGAATTCGAGAC